GAAACAAACATCTATGATTTTCATTTAAATTTTCATTAATGTCTCGTAAACATGAGTGAATACGGAACCACATCTTTTAACAAGCCTTCTCCTTACATGCACTATGCACGTAAACGAGATGACATCATGAAGTAAGCATCAAAAATATCCTAGAACACATTTAGAACTTCGTGAAGTGCAATGAGAACCAATCAGAAAGCAGTGACATTGCTAAAATGTAAGAGCGCGGTGACAAAGAGAATGTATGGGTGATGTTGGTATGAATTATGTTAATTTTAATGCTCCCATTGCCCATGCAAAAGTGGCCATTTATCCAACACAGCGCGCACACTTTTGGCTTCTATAATTATTTTTAAAAAATGTGATAAAAGATTACTGTCGTAGTAAATTGAATGATAATCCCGACTGCAAACGAGGTAAATTTTATTTTTCATAAGTATTGTCTGCTGATATTAATGCAATATAGTATAACAACTTCACGAAGAACATTTTCGGGCACTTTATCATTCCAACATTCTCAGTATTCCGACAAATAGAGAATTGCAGCATAAAATGTTCTTTCTGTTCATTTGTGCGCCCGAGAAAAACTCCTAGGTTTTGGTTTCTTAGTCAATTAAGTACTTCAAACAAATTAGTTTATTTTACATTATCTTTGTAAACAATTCTCACTTATTTTAGGCTAAACTATTTTTCCAGACAGTAAGTTGGAAAGTAATGTTGAGACTTTTGAACAAGAAACGAATTACAATGCAGAATACAGTACATTTAGTTTACGTACAAGACTATTCGTTGGTCAAATACATTACACAAATTAACAAACAACCACTAACTGAAACCTACAATTTATTCTCTGTTGCGTAAAATGTACAGCACAAACACGATTGTAGGCAACGATATTTTTCGGATTACTGAATGTTGTGATTCTCATAAAAGCGGGAAACAACATACTTGCACAAAATAGTAATTGTCACCAAAAAACAAGGACCAGACAAAACAATGAACTAGGAACAAAAATTTCTCAGCGTGTCCGGTAAGGCGGCTTCACTTTACTGCCTTGGCGCGAGCACAATGGGTGGTGTGCGGTGGCGCGTACACCAGCTCGGACTGCAAGCTCAATTCATGGGAGTGTGCACTTGCAAGTCTCTGTCTCTGGAGAAAGAGAGAGGGAGAAGAAGACCTTGGGGCATGTGGGTGTCTTTTAGTGTTCCTGCTCTCTCCTCCACCAGGGAGATTTTTTGGTTGATCATTGGTGATTCCGGGAGCGTCAACGGAAAACGTCATAAGTTAGGTAAGTGTAGTGCATGTTTTCTCCTCGTGATCGTCCACCGCCCCTGGATGATGAGATCCGACGCCGACCTACCGGAAAACCGGGAATTTCCAAAATTAGGAACCTCCCATGAGTGTGGAACTGCTCCAGCCTGGAGAAGCTCTAAGCTCGCCATTGGTCTCCCGTCAGTAGCGAAGTGTATGTAAGCGTAAATGTGTTAACGTAAGGCGTGACGATAGGACAAGAAAGGGGAAGGAAATAGGAAGGAACGATCGCACGTGGTCCGTGACCACTTTGTTAGACTACTGCTTTTGCATTAGCCTTCATTGATCGGAGAAATCACGAAAAACTACCGATTAGAGCAGCCAGTCCCCTAGAATTCTCCTCCAGACAGCCACGAAACTCGACCTAGCTACTTACGTGTCAGCGTCGGAAATCGAAACTAGGACCTCCCGGTCAGAGGGTGGGGGCATGGTGTCATGTCCGTTAGTTTGCTATCTGGCGGGGACGGGACGTCACTACAATGAGAATGTTGGAATGGTGAAGTTCCTCATGTCTCATGAAATAATAGATTATTCTTTTGTAATTCTATACAGCTCTCGTTGGACGTTGCAAATTACAATGCCTCGTCCTTATGTTTGGCAGTTCAGACCTTTAATTCATTAGTTATTTATTGATTAATTATCAAAAAAGCTAACCAGTTCAAAAACTGAACAAATTTGTGGACTTGGTTGTGACCAATACAACAGGCGTTAAATGTGCCTATAACGATTTCTGGAAGTACGAGAATCATTACAGAGGTACATTAAATAATTAGCGCGTGAACCAAGGGGGGGAATCTTCAGAGCTTATTTTTTTATTCTAGTAATACACTTATTTTTTCGTGCATTTGAATAGAATTGGTTATAACAACAATAAGCTGCAAAACTCATACTCTGTTTCATTTATCTCAGATGACTGAAAAGGAAAAGTTTCACAAATATAGTACGTGTAGATGAAGATAGTATGATTAAGTTAAAAATAAATATTCGTGAAAATTTCTGACAGGTTATCGTGTATATGTGACATGCGTGCGATCTGACTACGTCTGAATAAGGAAGAGAACTAAATCCAAAATAATAACACAAGCACCGAGTTGTGTCCACAGGCGACCTGATGTATAGTTGCCAGGTTTGGGATCGAGATGGATACAAAGCTCATCACAATGCGATATTCAGGGAGAGGGTTCTTCACGGGGAAAGGTTACCAGGAGAGCTATAGTGATCATGGGAGGACCTTGCAGGACCGTCTGGCGCCGAAAGATGAGCTCGAGAAGGGGTCGAGTAAAACTGGACGGTAGCCCCGATAGAAAAATTGACGGAACATGTAATAAAATAATTGAAGGTATTTTGAAATTACAAATTAGATAAAATAATATGGAGTTACAAATTATTTAAAGAAATTCAGACCTGTCTTAGATCAAAACTCACTAAAAATATAAAAATTAAGTCTATGAATACATGTCAAAATTAAATATAAAATCCGAGCCTTACGGCAGTGGTATGTGCTAACAGACGCTCGTTAGACGGAGGAGTAGCGATCAATAGCCCTCCCACCCAGGAGACGAGTGCAGCTAATTATAATGAAGCCAGCTGATGATATCTCTCTGATGAAAGGGTTTCTCCGCTCATTTGTCCACGTATTCAGCACGTGCAAAAGAGCCCCTTCGCTGAAACGCGGCTTATCAGAAAAAACACCTGATCGCGTTCCCCGCCCCGTCACCAACCCGCCACACCCCGCGCCACACCCTTCAAAAAGACGGGCGGCGCCCCGGGCCGGTGCAGCCGCCCGTCGACCGCCCACGCTCAAGCCCGCGCCCGCGCCCGCGTCCAGCCATGGCTCCGCTCCACGTTTTCACCCTGGCACTCCTCGTCGCCGCAGGTACGCCCACTTCGCACTTCCCACACGCGCCTTGGCCGACAAGCGAGGGTGCCCCGTCAGTAGCAGCGCAGTTGCAGCGTCCATAGATTACCTAGCGCAAATTTGGAGTATTTTGAATACCCCCCTTCCCCACTCTGTAACGCGCACTTCAATCCCCTCCTATAATTACGTAACACTTGCGACAAGCCTCTCCCAAATATTCAATAAACATATCATTGATGATTTTTATTCCATTTATTGTAATAATTTATAGAATAAAACTTTCATTTATCATCTTTTTAATTTAATTTGTTAATATGGTAATGTTTTAGTATAAGACTGAATAAAAGGATTTTTTCAGAAAATTTGAAAGATTTTAAAAATAAATATCAGCATTACGTAACACTAAACTGGGACCCCTCTACCCCTAAGTAATGCAGCGTAACGCTCCTGCAAACAGCTTCCCTCCTCTTCAGCGTTACGTAATTTACGGACGATACCTTAACCCCATCGCAGTGGAATATCTTCCGAGAGCCAACTGAACCGAAACAATGTACTGAAGAGGGATGAAAGCCTAACAGAGACGAGTTCTTAACGGAGGGGGGGGATCGCTTAGGATGGGTACACCAGGCTGAGAATTTTTAAAATAAACACTGATATTTCAGAGTATATAATTATATAATTACTTACTAAATACCATTTCTAAATTATAGTGAATTATGAAAAAAATGGGGATGGGGGAAATGTTCATAGAAAAATGTGTATTTAATTTACAGCTGTAAAACAATTCTTTTATCACGTTTTCTTGAATGAACACAATTTTTATAAGCGTGCGTTCTCTGATTGAGAAAATAATTTAAAGAAGAAATTAGGAGTTATTTTTGAGAAGATTTAAAAATTTCATTAATTTCATGTAAAGTACCCCCAAAATCAAAATATTTATCAAAAAGTGTGAATAAACTTCAGATCATCTCACAGATACATCACACGTACTTCAAATATAATTGGAACTCAGGCATGCTTTTTTATTTTATTCCGCAAATATTAACTTTATTATGTTGGCATACAACAATGTCAATAAAAACGATCACATTCATTTTACACTATTACATAAATACCTGTATTTTACTAAATAGGTTGTTTTGTAAATAAACCTGGCAATGAAGAAGTCAGAACACTGCTTTCCTTCACATTAAAACGTGCATATTTTAAAGTGACGTATATGCGTATATAATCACTCAACACATTTTAGACAGTGAATTAATATTTAATAGTCATTAAAGTTTATACGTTTTTACATTACTCGGTGCTTCTAAAAAAATAAATATTACACTTTCCTAAATTTTGGTGGAGTAGGTGAAGGAGTGTGAAGGAGTTACATTACGTCAAACGAGCAGGTAATGACGTTGGTTATCAAGACTTAGTGATAATTGTTAAAAGTGATAGCTGATTAATTATTTCATTTTATCTCAGCCCTCATATGTTTTCAATTCAGCAATTATTACGTTTGCTGCGAACCGATTGTTCCGTGTACGTGCGTACAACTACTTTGTTTTCAAAGATGCGTTTCAAACTCACAGTAATAAAACAGACAAGGATACCATCTTTTATACTTGTGGAAGTTTTCATTGGAGAGAGTAGTCAGAGCCTTGAGCGCACTGTATAGCTCAGAGTCTTTGAGCCCTACCTTATGCCTAGTGGGCCTTAAATGCTGTGAATAGTTGAGGGGTCTTGGGCACGGTGTGCTTCAAAGGGGTTGAACTTTAAGCTGAGTCTATGGGTCTGAAAATTCCCTTCGTTGGCAGCGGCGGCGGTGCCTGCCGGCGAGCGCTTCATGTGGGTGCCCGATTCCGAGGGCACCCTGCACATGGTGGACCTGCTGGACGTGGAGCCGGAGGACACCCCCGTGCCCTTTTTCAACGGAGAGAAGGATGTTGACCTCATGCTGTACACGCAGTGAGTACTCCTCGCATTATTGCCTCCAAGAAGTTGCGAGCGATCCCTCAAAAGCACACAGTTGATCACTTGCTCATGTTTCAGAAACAATCCATCTTCACCCGAGTACATCCTCCAATCCGATCCGTCAAAGTCTCCCAGCTTCAACCCCGCCAATCCAACACGCTTCGTCCTTCACGGTTGGACCTCCAGCTACAAGCAGATGGACCCCATCCGTAAAGGTATTCCGCACATCTCACGTACGCTTGCGCAATACGCAGCACAAGAACAACTGCGATGTTAAGCATTCATCTCCTGTTCGCTCCGCAGCGTACATCGACACCGGCAAGAACTGGAACGTGGTGTTGGTGGACTGGCACAGCCCCGCTTCCAGCGAGTATTCCATCTCGAAGCGCAACTCCCGGCGCGTAGGAGAGTACTTGGCGGAAGTGATCCAGCATCTCGTTGCCAACCGCGGTCTCCGCCTGGACGACGTGTACATCATCGGACACAGCCTGGGCGGCCAGGCGGCCGGTGTTGCGGGCAACCGCCTCGGCGGACAGGTCGCTCGAGTTGTCGGTGAGTTCTTTGCAAACTACGGTTCTTCGTGGAGGTAAAGAGATTGCTGTAAGAAGGGACCGTTTTGACGGCTACTGTTTTTCTACTGCTGGCTACATACTTGCAGGTTATGTCTATGCACTCATTTTGTCAGTGCGTTCGTTTACAGTTAGCTCATTTGTAAATGTCTTAACCAGTATCTCTTGCTCTCTGACGTTCATTTGCTTCCCGACCTGTCAAAGTGGTCCCTTCATAGAGTAACTTCTATATATCGTGTTACGCACACTAACTTTGCTTTAATAGGAAGAAACTCTATGTCACCGTAAGAACGTCTGCTGTAAAAATTTGCTTAGCGGTCGAAACTTTAGTTTCATGCGCGCGTTAAACGCGTATCATCCAATACGTTTATGTAAATATTATTTTGGGAATATTAATAACCCACGACTGTTATTGGACAGCTTCAAATACAATGTATTCACAGTAATTTTATCATGAAATTGTTTCACTGCATTCCTGAAGTCATGTAATAATACAATGTTTCAAAATGTGATTCCTTAAGAGGAGTAGCCCTTCTCGTCTACTCACGTACATGCCAATATAATTCATTGTATTTTTAGGTTTTTTGTGTTACGACTTTCGGTAAGCGACGGGAAAATTCTTAATGAGAAGTCGGTTCATTTGATCATTCGTGGGAGGTTCACATTTCGTTTCGGAGGTATTCTATTCTCACTTAAATGTTTCTTTCCTTGTGTTGTAAAAATTGTTGTTTTTTCACAATGTATTTACCATTTAAGATGGTGTCGATACACATTTGAGGTGTCGAAACGATACTCGACATCTGGCTCTAAAAGATGGCCTTTGAACAAAACGCCTGAGAGCCCCATTCGCTGAGGGGGACGGCGAGGAGGCCCAACTGCTGGTCGTTGTCACAGGTCTGGACGCCGCCGCGCCTCTCTTCGGCACCACCTCCGAGAAGAACCGCCTGGACCCCTCCGACGCCAAGGTTGTGCAAGGCATCCACACCAACGGCGGCCTCCTCGGCTGGAAGGACCCTCTAGGCGACGTCGACTTCTTCCCCAACGGCGGCTCCAGCCAGGCCGGCTGCATCCTCGACGTCAGCGGTAGGCGACACGCCACCCCTGCGCCCTCTACCCGCACCCTCGTTTCTCGATCCCGTTTCTCTTTGCTCTTCCCTTTTGTGCAGTTCTTTCAGCTCCTCGATGATAAAAACGTGCTTTCCGCACCCCTACCAAATTTCAACAGTTACACTTGCGTCCCCTGCCCACCTGGATGGCCGAGGTGGCTAGAGCGTTTGCCGATTCAGCGCCTCGGTCGGAAGGGTCGAGGGTTCAAGTCCCGTGTGGGTATGATGATCTTGTCTTTCATGTATGGACGTTGTCGCGAAAGGGCTTGTATGAGCGTATCAAGTACATGTATGAGCGTTGTCTGCTGACCACAGACCCAGGAGTGTGTCTAGTGCAACAGGTTAATATGTGTCGTCATGAGGGACATAGCGGAAACCCGGCGCGGACAGCAGAAATCGCCATCCCTTGAATGCTGGAAAAAGCCCCCGGAAGAAAGAACACAATAATCTGTTCTGACTCCTCTGGAAGAATCGTTGGATCAGCAACTGACGTTTTTCCTTTTAATAAATTCGTGACAATACATTTTAAAAACGTTACTGCATGTATCGAACGTTAAGTTAAAAATACATAGTAGCTTGTTAGAAGAGAGTGATTTTACTTCTAACTAAAAACTTATTCTCAATGCACATCTCTAAATAACTAGATGTTCATGAAATAATTATACTTTGGTTTATACAAATCAAAGCATTTATTGATTTCTTGATATCGCAAAAAGACTGTAAACTTTCTTTTTCGTACTTCAATCTCATATTGCTTGGCAGTTTGATATCGCTTTTGATATCTATATAGCTTGTAATTATTGCTGTTTACAAAAAAAAACTTTGGAAATACATTAAAAATCTCCGGTTTAAATTCATGAATTACGAAGAATTAACTTTAATTACACTGAAATTCCGCATATATTAGAGTATTTTTTAGTAATATTCTATACGTGTGAAATAAAATGAAATTTCTTTAATAAGAAAAAAATACGTTCATTCATAACAAGACGTATTGAGTACTTAAAGTCAATTTCATGCAAAGAAAGGGATAGTTTTATTGTGTATTGTGTAGGCTATATACAAGAGAGCGAGCGAGCGAGCAAGCGAGCGAGAGAGTGAGAGAGCGAGAGAGCGAGCGAACGAGCGAGCGAGCGAATCGTAGGGTTGCCCTGACGCGCGCATTGTTGTTCGCAGGTGCCTGTGCGCACAACCGCTCCCCCACCTACTACGCCGAGTCTGTGGTAACGCAGGCCTTCGTGGGCGCCGAGTGCGACAGCTACTCCAAGTACAAGAAGGGAACGTGCAGCGGTAACGTTCACGCGCCCATGGGCGAATGGACAGACTCTTCGTAAGTAAATCACTATCGGAATCGGCCGAATTATTTTCTTGCTTTTTCTAAATCCACGGGTGTCATACACTTTTATAAGCCACTCTTGCTGACTTTAATTTTGTTTTAATTCGTGCATGAAAATCATTTAGTTGGGTACAATGATAGACGAAAGTATCTAAACCAGGGTTCCCATTTTGTTTTAGAGTATTTATAAATCCAATTTTCTGCACTTAAATCAAAATATTTCCAATATCGTCCTTACGTAGTTATACAAATATTATAATATACTTACCATCGTTGGCCATAAGAATAAAATATTTATTCATAAATATTACATTTTCTGGATTTTTAGGGTTTCCTAAGACGAACCTCTGCCCGCTAACGTTTTAAGAAACGGATAAAAATAAAAATGGGTAAAAATTGCAAACAGATTGAATTCAGCATAATTTTACAAAAATGCAAGTTTAACGTCTTATTCATACAAAATTGTATTATATTTCTAGCACATAGCCTATGTATTCAAGTAAGACAAAACTTGCATTTGTAAGTATCTTCTTCCGTCGCCGCACATTCTACATGAACTCGTAGTGAACAAATTAGGCACATCACCCGAAGTTCTCCTACAGCCCTCTGAAACTTTTAAACTACAAGGCATGCACTATACATCTTCACCTGGGTGGAAAGATGTCCCTGGTAGAACTTCCAATTGGAAAGAACCAGATGCCATATTCGATTCCACCCTGGAGGTGGAATCTTCCTTCAGAACTTTATGAAATCTATCTCTTTTTCTTTTTAACTTATCTAGGTTTAAATTCTGATATTGCTTCATGACCTCTTTCTTCTTCCTGACCTCTGGGACTGATGGGCTTCAAAGTACGCTCTTTCTTTTTATTAGACTCCTAAACTATCAGGAGTGCGACAAATACTTAAATTGCTCTCATTTTACAAGTCGAAAAATTGGAGACCAATATTAGGAAACATTGGGGAACTCTAGTTACACTCCAATGTGTTTATATTCCAAATGCCAATAACAGTTTTACAAGGCAAGTAAAATGAATTGCATTTCCCTACAACAATAGCTTAAAATTCCCCCTTGAAAATAATATAATGGTTAGAAGACTTAGTGATGAAGTAACAAAATCAGGCAACTGAAATTAAGCACTTGAAAAAACTTAGCTTTTCATTTTTACCGCTAATGGTTGACTGCCTGGCAACAAGTTAAGTGACACTACCACTGGACTGAGCTGCGGTCTTGCAAAGAACTACTGTTGTACGTAGGCAACAGCACTCTACCCTGCTGTAAATCAAGGGGCTCGCATTAGAAACAGTGTCTGAGTTTTCCTTCAATTCTCTACATATCTGTCTCCTATAGCCGATGCAGTCGGACGAAAGTATTTGCAATTTCCAACAAATCAGGGATTACAACGAAAATTACTCCTGCACCATTCTATTAAGCGTCCTTTACGCTATCCGACAACAAAATTTTATCGAAAATTTCCACTTTTTTTTTAATGTTCCAGGCGCTTTATGTAAAGTATCCCCCAAAATTAAAATATGAGTTTCAAATTGAAGGCGCCGCGACATCAGCCAGATGGATTGGAAAATTTTGGAGAAAATTGACTGGACGGTTTAGGAGCGTGTGTTTTGCCATCAATCGATTTGTCGGTGTCAAGAACCCACTAAACATTGATTCTCACTACACTGCGTGATATATGAAGTAATTTAATATGTATAGGGACAAGATTTATCCACTTTTCCATTACCAAGGCCCGTCAATAAGAGTTTTCTGTCGAAAATTCGTCGTTTTCCCGCGCAGCATTTCAATACTTTCTCTACACTGCGTAAGCAGTAACGAGATAGTAACAACAATGCTTCACTACCTTATATCGCGAAACCAGGGCACAACTTAAACGAAGGTGAGAGTTACTTTCAAATAAATCATGAAGAGTAGAGATGAAACAAAAATGTTCCAAACATAAACATTTTTAGGCTATTGCAGAAAAAAATGTTTATATTTCTTGAGTGAAGTTACTGTTTATTTCCCAATCTCGATTTAGTTTTTTTGGCCTTTTGTTTGACGGTCTCGGCAAAAAATCTCAATTTCGATCATGCAAATACAATAACATCATGCACTTTTATACAAATAACTATTGGCATGCTGATATGTAAATGTTTAAGCCACTAATATTTTAATAATGAAAGAATGTTTCCTAATCAACAAACATCTTTATTGATTATAAAATGCTCAACTGATGTTATAAAGCCTAATTACTGCAGTTCGGAGATACGTTTAAAATTATAATTCTCGAGAGAAAATAATAGCTTGTACATATTTTGTGTGTGCGGTGAATCAAATATTACAGAAAAATTAAGGAGCTCGAAATTAAACATTTTTTTGTGAACAAATGTTGACATATATGCATAGAGTTCGTACTTTCCAAGTCCCATTTTTATGATTTTGATATATTCTTGTCGATTAAATCGTTTTTCACCTCAGCATTGATTTTGTATAATTGACACTGCCCCATGTCATTGGCTTTTTCTATGTCAACAAAGACTTCTTTGAATTGCATAGCAATAACGAGAAAAACTTTGAACTATTTGTTAATAAAGATCTTGCTAAGTCATTATCTTTTTGTTTCAGAATTACTGGCAACTTCTACCTCAACACGAACTCGAAATCCCCTTACGCCCAGGGCAACACCGGCCTGTAAACAATGATTTCGTATAATGAACTGACATTTGTACATACTAACAAAATATTTTGTTAATTGTGTAAATATCTTGTAAATATACATTTTAAATGCATGTTTTTAATTTTATTTTATTTTTGAAAGATCCTGTATACCCATCTGATACATAATTTACAGGCTTTTTCCTTTCCACGTATCTTTACAAGAAGAAGCATGAAAAGTGATTACAATTCTGTACAAATTTACAGTTTTCTTCATGTATAAGAACACGCAAAAACACCATACTATATATCTACAGTGTAAGTAAAAATAAAGGTAATAACTCGTTTGTGAGAAAACTAAAACTAAAACTTGTGCCAAACATACGGGGTGATTCAGTCCTCGTATGTCTTACAAGACCAAGTGATAAGAGTACACTTAAGTTATTCATGTGTGCAAAAGGAAATAGAGTAAACCGTATTCAAAATTTTTAAAAGAAAAAATATTTTTGTCATTTATCATATTTTGCAAAAATGTAGCCCAAATATTACATTCAATTTTGTTTCATGTTTTTATTATTGCTTGCATATCAAGCGAACACGTGAGGAGAAAGAGAAAACGATTATTTAAGTGTTATTTAAGGTAGTTTATCATATTTGCTATGGAGCCAAAATTTCGCATTTTCACCTCGTGTAACAGGGGCTCTACAAGTGTTCAAAAAGGCCTCCTCTTATGTGAACGCAAGCTAGATAGGCATCTGCTTCAGTGACGCGCACAACTTTCCCGTGTTGCGCCTTTGTTTCTGCCACGATGTTTTTAATGCGCCGAAGAAGGTCATCATGATCCTCGACTTCCGTAGCATAAATACGTCTTATATTAACCTCCAGCTCCGAAAGCGTTGGGAGTACCTGAGTTACAAAATTCAGATACTGAATGCCACTTAAACTCTCGGACGGAGGATAAATCCTTCCACAATGCCAACCGATACATTTACAAAAACATCGCACTTGCTGAGCTACACTTAGTGCAATAAGTGGATTTTCCTCGACGCTCACTTTCAAAATTGTGCACATTAATTGTGCCAGTTCTTGTGAAATGCGCTTCTCATGACCAAAGAACAAAATTCCTGGTTTTCTTGGTATTTGCACAGAAAATGCCTAGAGAATTAAAAACGAAGTTACAATTCTTCTGCGAAAATACCTCTAGAAATGTAAAAGAGATGGAAAATCCCTCATGAATTTTTAGTCATACGAGGGGCTTTGATGCCTTGACCTCGCTCGCCATTTTCCTTGTGCTCTCTTCCGGGGCTTCTAGAATAGTATTAACAATTGAGTTTTTTAGAGAAGTGGAAAGCCGTAAGTGAAGGGGAAGCCGCTCGGGTGAACATATCGCTGCTCGTGTAAAAATTAACGTCGCGAGAAACAAGTCAAAAAACTTATTTCTTTGTAGTATTTGAAAAAGCAAAAAAATAGAGCAAACTGATGTTTAGTCATCGCTAAGTATCATCCCTACCAAATGGTTAAAAAAAATTTAGCAGTTTTTTTTAGAAAATCTCGTTTTTGTTATTTTTTAAAATTCACACATTTGACATAATATTGCGCGAAAACAACTAAAATTTTCAAAATAATATACATTACTCATGAAAGAATTGACTATGGAGAAAAAAATTTATTTGAAGGAAAAATCTCTCTTCAATTTTGTAGTTGTTGGAAGACTCTTGAAAAATTTCAGAGTTAACCCTGATAATCAGACATATACCACCTTTACAAGTATTTTGTCGTATTCTTACAAGAAATTTAAAGAAAAAATTTGAAATGTCTGATTTTGTCATGTAAAGTACACCTAAAATTAATGACTGCTTTTCAAAATCGCAGACCTTCGACCCAGGCCAGATCAAGAGGGGTTTAGGATGGGAAAAATCGCGCGCATAGTTTAGGTGCTAGTGTTGTTCACATACACCAGACAGACAGGTGGACAGATTCTGACAGATGGACGGACGTTTTTAAACTGTTTTGTTCCCAGAGTGACATATTTTGCTGTCGATCGATTTTTCTGTAACAAGTGCCTACAAAACGTAGATTCTGACGACACAACGTGTTAGAAGAATTAACGTACTACATATGGAAACAAGATTTATCTATTTTTTTGTACCAGAGCCTCTCAAGAGTTGTTCAGTCGAAAAATCGCAGTTTTTTTGTCACATCATTACAATTTTGTTTTACCCTACATCGTAAGGCGAGAAATGAAAAGAATTACCGATTTTTTTAATTACTCTTGCGTATAACATGACAATATTCAAGAGAGTGGCTGCTTCGAAACTTCCAGGAGAGGGAAGGCAGCGACATCTGGTCGGCCCTTGCCACCCGCTCCGCCGTTGTTTGCAGTTTCCTCTTCCGCCGCTGAAACATCTAGAAGCGACAAGCGTACAAGCGCGGAAAACAAACGCCAGCCTTCCTCATTCGCGCCGACTAGTTCTCAGCATCTACACCTCACTTTCTCTCGGACATATACGGTCCTTTACAATGATTTATTTAATTAAATGAATAATAGATGTGACTTATAGGATTAATTCATGAATAGATAAATAATGATATAATAGAAATATGATAAATAGGTTATAAGGAAATAGGATGAATGAAAACATTATAAGATTAATTAAATTAATCAAAGCAATATGACCTATTAAACGATGTCATATGAAGTGTGTGTTAAAACGGGTCTTTTTTTGGATTAGAAAACGATAAATTGTGATATTCGGGTGCCAGAATATGCCTGTCAACCCAGCTATATATTTACTATTAGAGAAAAAATATGCACCGACATTGTATGGTAAACTGACCATTGTCAATTTGACAGCAACTCGTGAATAAGAAATTGGACATTCTATGTTTAGTCTTTCACGCCATTCTGTGGAAATACGGCAGATGGACAATGTTTCACAATTCTTAAACGATCTGAAGACTTCGAACCAGCATTGCTCTTACTCTGGACAGATATGTACGTATGATAGTATGATACGTACGCATTTCCTAATATCATTAGGCGATAAATAAAATTAGGAGTTAAACGACACTAATGGAGGTAATTTTTATTGTTACAACTTTCTTCCTCAAATTGAAGCTTTCACGTTCTCCTCATTCTATATTACCCATGCTGCTCACATTCCTAGGCATATAAACTGGAACGTCAAGTGCATTTGTAAAATGTGTCGTCAAATATCGCGGCGAGTCTAGTCTTTCCACATTTACCTATAGATCAAGGTTCGTTATGTTATCCTTTCAGATCGATTGGCCATGTGGCATGAGTGGCCACTTAGCGCTTCTTTGATATGGCCATACTTCTTAGCAAAGTCGCGCACCCAATTTTTATGTCTTGAAATTATATTTATCTTTTCCAAAGGGCAAAAAACCTAACTATTTTAATTGAGTGACAAATTTACTTACAGCTCAGATTCTGCCTTGCGCGAAGAACGCGTACACGGTTCTGGAAAGTGCGAGCAAGCATGTTTGCAGGCGATGCTCTGACAACACCTTCGCATACTCTCCAAGAGACCTGAGAAACCTTATCGCAGGAACAAGCACCCGTTTTCTAATGTTGAAATAGACACGAGAAAGGTGCAAGGCACCTAGCCCATTGAAATACGCTAAAAAAGCAATTAGAATGCAATAAAATGAGAAAAAATTGGAAGAACTGATTATTACGTGGAGCTCTATTATCAACGATATAACAAAGATCACATAACTGATAAGTGCTCTAAACTAATTAAAACTAAATAACTAAACTTATTAAAAAAGTATTTATTATGACCAGCAGCGTATATGAAAATTATACTTTCAACGTCGATTTTTTATAATGACACTTGACGTTTAACCAGCTGTCAATCATTTGGAGTCAGCATTCCATCGGGGATATCAACGGCACCATAATGGCTTTCACTGTAGTGACGTTCAAGTTCCCGACAGGATGACTCCATAACATATGACTTATGTCAAGGGCCACTACAAATCAATCTAAGTATAAGTGTGGTTACTGAACTACAACAGAACAAAATTTTAGCATTTTAGTGTCGTGCTTGAGCCACAATAAACATGCACTTTAGGACACTATTATTGAAGAAAATAATTTATCTTTATTGACTATCAACTTGTACATGACAACATTTAAAGGACGTAAATTGGCGCGCCACTTGCAATAGGAATTGCATGAACAGCAGAGAGTGGTCCACAACTAATGATAACGGTAGGCCTATACTTATCGGTAGCTTGTAATACACGTGGACGTCCCGACCAAGCAGTGTATAACCTTTTAGAGGCCTTTGAACTAAGGCGTAAGGAAGCAATACATGAGACCCGCTGTTATGTAAGCACAGCTCTACACTTTTGCATAGAGGCATAATTACAAACCATTGAACGCATACTTTACTAGGGGCGATTTGTAAGAGCTAGTCATTTTCTTTCTCTTGGAATCTCTTTCCTTGGCTGTGCCCCCGGTACTCTTACAGAATGTCACCATGGATGCCCAATTGCTATTGAGGGAAGAAAAGAAGGAAGGACGAGCAACGTAGGAGTCGGCAGTGGGTAACCCTAATCAAATTTGATAGAGCGATGATTAAGGTGCCTGAGCCCTCTAAATGTATCTCTAGATTGATATAATTTGACCGTATATCCAGAGAAGCGCTGGTGTTGCTCTTAGCGCAACATTATATCAGATAGAGTGCGGACTGCCAGTGCGATAATTTGCAGTATTTTAGAAGAATTCACTGAAAACTGGTCGACGATTCAGACGTTTTTGCATCAAACTTCTCTCCGGCTAGTATTGGAGATGGATGCATCTTGTATCATTCATGTATGCATACAAGCAGTGCAAGCGAGCTTTAGGTACAAAATAATAATAAGATAAAATAGTTTTTATTTTATTTTATCCGATAGCTTTTATAAGCGAATTCAGATCAGTTTTCGAAGTTGATTAATACCTCATTACCATACCTATTATAATAAGCTTCCTGCAGTAGATAAAATGGCTCATTATATTCAATGTAATATAGGGCATAAGGCAAACAGCCTTGGGAGACTGAGTGCATCGACTGTTGTCACTGCAGTGCCTCTGATTGGTAGGTCCCAGAGTTAGAGCCCCCAAAGTGGCAGGAGTTTCAACACTAACTATATAGCAACGTTGAATTCAGTCCCTGTCTGGAGTATAATTCTAGCGGCCGGTTGCTCTGATCGGTAGTTTTCCGTGGTTTCTGCGATCAACACCTGGCGAATGCCGGGGCAGTACCCGAACAAACGGGCCACAGACCTTTCGTTCTTTTCCCCTGTCCTATCGTCACCCTCTTACACACACACACACACCCTACATACACACACTAACATGCATTACATTACCACACATGTTGAGAGAACACTCAGGAAGCTAGACCTTGTCCCGGCTGTGGCTTTCTATGCAGGTGGGAGACTCCTGGAGGGGGAAACCTTCCAAACCGACGTATGTCGACGCAGGATCTGGTCATCCGGTAGGATCGGAACCACCGCAATCTTCCGTGATAAAAAAACCCACAACGGAATTAATGACAGTTGACGCGCCCGGCAACAGGAAATAATCAAAGGCAATAAAATTCCCTTAAACCAACAAACAAACTATTAGAAAAATATCAAAATGTTAAAAAGGCCATCGGATAAGATAAACCCTACACTAAAAATGGCTTAAATACCAGTACTTTGTGTTAGTACCTTCGTTAGCAATTATCTCTCGCGCTACCGCGCTCACTAATTATCACTGAGAATCATCAACGTGAAAGAATATACATTATTACAGAATTGGAATATTAAAGAGGGAACACAACTGAACGTTTAATGTCTGTTATTACAAAGAGGGATGTGCATCATACGTTTCGTCCACCTGCAGTAACAGTATGGGCCGCTATTAGCTGAGTCACGAATACCACTCTCATTCGTGTAGAGCTCACTGAGTGGCCCAAGATATCTTAATGAGATCGTATTCCCATTTTCTACCACTTTTTCAGAGTACTCTTAATGGCATCCTTGATAACACATCGCAGCCACCCAGTAGGTAGCTTTCCAAAGTTCTGACATTCTACCAAGAGCTGTATGATTGCCGGACCTAACGCTAAGAAAACTTCTGTACGTCGTCCTCAACACCAGGGAGCTGCACAACCGCTTTGAATACTCCGTAAGGACTCGTAGAATGGATATAGTATTTATTATGATACCAGTGCCTAAGCCTCATACTCATATCTGGAAATGGGCTGATGATTTTGATGAGTAGGAGATTGTGAAGAAATGTGAAAGATGATCGAACAATGGTAGAATGAGAGCGAGGAAAACAGAAAAAACTAGAGGTTGTTGTGAATCCGCTTCGTCCAACAAGTTCACAGGAATACACCAGAATTTCAATGCCGGTCCTAGCGAATAAAGGGCAAGTGATTGGATCACATACTATAATCTATTAGAGGATTACCAGGGAATGTTTCACAAGAGCGCATTCGACCTCAGTGACACCAAATGTAGAGATTTTGTGTTGCCACAACAGCACGGAAAACGCCAAGTTTAATTTCGCTTGACTCAATGGCACTGCCGACTGTCCTTATTGTCGATCTGATTGTGTCCATAATTTAATTAACTTCTACTTACGATGAACGTGGTCATTTGTAATTAGGTAAAACAAGGATCTTCAACCTGAGTCCTACGGAACCCTAGGATTCCCTGAAATGTTAACAAAAGTTCCGCAAAAGATCACTATTTGCTCAGCCAAAATATAAGTAAAATGAAAGTCATGTTTATAAAGAATTTTTCATATGGAAATCAGGTAGTGGATCGTATTATTAATAAATCAGATTTATATAATATTTATGTAAAATTACTAAGTTAATATAAATTGGTTAAAAAAGCAGTTGACTGTACAAACACGAAAGATTGATAAAAATTGAAAAATTTTGAAATTGAAAAAATATAATAATTAAACCAAAATACATAAAACATTATTTTTATTTTAAGATTTTGTTTTTTTTTCAGACAAATTAATTTATGTGAATTTTGTTCACTCCAAATGATGCGTAAAACAACATTACGTGAAGGTAGTGTTTCAGAATATGTGAAAAATAAACCTGATTTTAAATTTTGTACTTTGTCCAAAAGGAAAAAGATCCCCGAGTGTTAAATTACCAATATCATGTGACTAACTATTGTGTTAATTTTTGATTGTTTAAATAATTTTGCGAATTTGTACAGAAAAAAAGCTTTGATAAACAATTTTATCTGCTACTTAAGTACGAGGTTCCATCTAAAACACTATGATCTTAAGGAGTCACTAAAGATGTAAAATCTTGAAGATCCCCAAGGTAATAGAAGTTGCGTGACCCCCTGAGGGACTTTCTTTTTCTCAATCAAACGGAGTATACAAAAAAACTGGTATTGAAAATAATGGAACTCTTTATTTTTCCTTCTAATGTTTATTCTGCATACATTTTATAAACGAGGGAATTAAAACATTCACTCTTACCCCTCCCCGCGGCGGCCACGATTCCTTTTCAGATAAGACAATTTGTGCGAAATGACTTGTAAATTGTATGTAATGACATCAACGGAGGGATGACATCAATGGGAGGACAATGACTTGCAATGTGAGCTTTCACAAAGAAAAAAATCGTTTTGATCTTCAGAAACAGCTTCCTATATATGGTCAGCTGTAACATTTAGACGTAGCTCTGACAAATAATTTTAGATTACACAACTTCACTTACTTTCCATTTTTGTTCAAACAGAGGCGGACATCTGAAGCAGGAATGAGAGAAAGTATTCTGAGCATGAAAGCATGCTGTCATGAAACCTCAGTTCTTTGAACTTTACTGCTCCTTTCGTGACTTTGCTGGTAGCTGAAAACATTGTAAATAAAATAAATGAAAGCAAGGCCAAGGATTCTTGAGTTCAGCACGTGTTCGGGAAAGTACTGTCAAATATCGGTTTAACAGCTTTCACAATACATAGCCTTTCGTTACCGAGTAGGTGATTCAGAAAAATATTATTTCTAAAGTAATTACTCATTATATTTACGCAATTGTTAATTACTGGTAATTAGCAACAGTGCTGTTCTAATTATTTCAATTTAGTAATTTTATTACGTACACATATTTTCATTTAAGGTCTGCACATTATCATAATTCAAAGTGTACAGGTTTATTCAAAACTTTCATTACGATTTAATTGCTCACCAAAGCATGTTCTGTAGATATTGGATATACAATTACTTCTACTATTACCAGGATTATTAGACCAAAAGAGCTTGTAGACGATAATTGAGTGCAAAAGTACAAATCAGAACACATCAGCAGTTTTTCCTTTAGAGAAACGCACGTACAATTGAGAGGAAACGCTGCTAATAGGGGAAACTCTGCTTCACTATTTGAAGGCGCATTCAGTGATCGGTGCAATCACGTACTCCTCTCTCCCCTGGGTCGTGAAGCGTATGGCAGCGGGGGGGGGGGAGGTTTTGTTACTGGGGGTGAGTGTGGGGGGCAAGTGCCAGGAGTGGGGGGGAGCCAGGGGCGGATCTGCGATTCTTTTTGGTGGGGGGACGAATACATAGTTTTTGTCATAGTATAATTCATAGTAGTGAACTGTATGATACATACAATATGACGTTTTAACTAATAACAATCTCAAATTATAATGTTTAATCAGTTTTGTCAAATAAAGAGTAAACAAAGCTAGGCGTTTTTGGAGGAGGAGGAGGAGGAGGAGGGACTGCCCCCACAGGGGGGGGGTTAGGCGCTGCGGATGCAGAGGCATGATAGCGTTTACTACCGGGCGCGGCCGCCAGGTGCGCGCGCTCGCCGACCTTCTTGCTCGAGGTAGGAGGCGCAACGCCGGCGGAGGGCGTGAGAAAGCCTGAGGCTAAGAAGAGCGAGCCGCGCAAGCGACACAGCCGGGCTTGCTTCAGTTCTCGCGCGTGTCGCCGCTATGGAGTTACGCCTCCGCCTCCCCGAATCCGTCTGCTCCGCCTCACAATCGCCACCGTGCGCCGACCTCCCCGCCTGACGACGGCGTTGCTTGCTTCGTGCAGCAGCAGCCCGGACGTTGCGGCGCCGCAGTATGCCCTCCAGCAGCATCCAACAGCCGACACCCGCGACTGAACGTCCGGCAATGCGTCCTTCACCTTTCTCCCCCACCCGCCTGCCCTTGTCACCGACCAGCGACACGCTCTCCCGAAACCGTGGCAACAGCTTCCACAGAATCCGATGGCGAAGCCTATGACGAATCTCTCAGGCACGTATGATACATTTATGCAAAGTAGCGTAACGGTCAGATGTTCTTCACAGGCTTCTCCAGTGCTCAACATTTCTTTTTCCTACTCCCATGTTCGCTCGACATTTCTTTCGATGAAGGAAAATTTTGGTTCCACTTCGTTGTCAGGATCAGGACGTGGTTAACCAAGTCATTAATGTACGATCGGTAAACTATTCATAAAAGAGAGTAGATGAGAAACGAGACAGGGGATCGAGGGAATTTTCCTTAATTGAATTGCGTTTGGAATGCATGAAATGAGTTTTTAAGTCTAAGTGGAGGGCAACATCATGAGACTTTTCTGTCAAATAATATTTTTATCAATCACTCTCACACAATTGATGAATGTTGACGATATAAGTATAGAAATCGCATACCTCTCTCAGCAGTTTAAAATTTTAAACATTTCTTAACCCTGACAGACAGACGACAAATTTCATTCTAGAGTAAATTATACACCACCTAGCTGCCGTTCTTTTCTTCTACAAGAGAATATTTATGAGAGTAGTTGATGCCATTGTTTTTGACTCCGTGTCAAAGCAGGAATGCTGAATATCAGTAACTTGAAATGTCTTACACGGATATTTTTTTCGTAGAATTTACTCGAACTAGATTTTTCATTGTCGCCATCATCTACTCATCAGATAATCACTCATGAACCTCAACGCCTTGAGCACTGAACCTCAGTAAATTATAACTATCACTAGTTTGAAGAGATTTTATTACGAAAGTTTCGTAATAAATACTATTCAGTTCGTAATGTTTGCACAAATGTAAACTACAAAATCTAACATATTATCGTGTTTTCATGTGCAGATTACATAGAAAAACAAAAAATATCAAGTGAGAGACAGATTTCGTGATTGCCGAGAACTTTTGCAATTTTATTGTTTAGCGAGACATTGGAGAATAATTTTCTCATATTTACCATCAAATATGAAACACTTTTCAGTAGGTATTCCGCATAAAACACTTCCCAAGCAGGATAGAAAGTAAAGGTAGTGAATTAATCACTTTTTACCCTCACGCGTGTTATTAATTAACACCAAAGCTGTTCATTTACTACGTAGTGTTTGCACTTATTACTCTTTTTCGCTTTTGGGGTGAAAGTAGTTCTCATTAGAAATATTATGACCGCTCCTTTTGTAAACAAAACTCCTTCATACACGAGATCAATCTTCTGAAGAGCATCAACCGCTTTCTCCCTCCGATGACTTTTTGCAGCGAGTGCCTCTTCACGCAACATGCACCCACTCACGTGGAGTCACTTTTACCCCGAAATCTTCACAAGCATTATAATGGATTCTTTCCTCATATCTTCGACCATGACTTGCTCTCGGAGTGAATGGAAAAGGAAATGTAATTTCAAATTGCAGAACAAAACTAATTTTTTGAAAGGAAATTGTCAGATTCCTGTAATAAAATACTTCATAAATTCAAGAAGTTATGAAATCACAGTGTATTTTTATGGGGAATGTCACGGCTTCGTTGATATCTCTTAAAATCACATTTTTGACGAGCATATAACGATCATATAAGAAAAATGTATCATTTTATATTCCGCACAGATCGCCCCCAGTAGATAATAGTTTTATTCATCGAGTATTAAACTTAGTAGAATTAACTACGGAAAAACAAAAAGTGTTATTTTTCTTCATAAATGTCGCTTTCTTGACCCTTTGTCGACATTGGGACAATTATACGATGTTCTCCCTCTATCTTCCTCCTCTCTCTCGCACACAGCCATTTCAGCTATTAAACTGAGAGACTTCAACGCTGGGTAAGAAAAGCACTGTGCAACCCTCCAATTTAATTATCTTTACATCCATAAGATGTAAGTTCAATATTATAGATGGATGATGTAGATACAATTTTATACCCGAAAATCAGGATGGAAGGAAGAATGCACAGAAGGACGGACGTGCCATGCATAATTGCGAGTGTAATCTGTTAGACTCGGAGATTTTTCATCTGTCAGATTAGAAGCTTTGAGCCAGAATATGGTAAACACACCAGGAGTAGGATCTAGCTGTATCATTCTAGGAATAATTAAGATATTTCAATTTTGGTATACACATTTTCATTTTCATTGTCATTTTCCAATTTTCTGCAAAACCAGCTGGAAGTTTTTGTTTTAATATTATTGTCCAATAGAGAATAATACATTTATAAATATGATGTACTAATTTTAATAAAAACATCTGAAATTTTGATAATTGCCACAGTTCCAATATTTTTTGGTCATTTTCCGGACATTTCCAATATACAGTCAAATTACTTTTTCAAAGCAATTTATCTCTGACCTTATAATGCTGTCTTAATATTTTTTCCAACAAAAATATGAGAATCTAGTTGTTGAGTAATAATATTTAGAGGATGAGCAGTTTTGCTATGCCAACCATTACTTCTAGTTTTAATTTCACAATAAAATTCAAAATCGTGTAAGTTAATCCCCTTAGGAACCTCTAAGTTAATATAATCTATCTGTTCACTTTTTTAATATATTTAAAGTATTTTTCTCCAGTTTGAAATAATTAACAATTCACGAAGAATCCTTAATATAACTGATTTTAATTTTTTGAAGCGCGTAAACTTGTGTTTCCGAAAGAAAATGCGTAATTGCAGAAAAGCATGGGGAGATTAGCACAAAAAGTTAAGATAATTTAGGTATTCCAGTATTAAAGTTACAGTTCAAAGTTTTTGATAAATTTCATCGTTACTGATGAATCTGGGAGCTTTTAAAAGTCCGATGGAGAAATTCATTTTGAATTCCTTGTATTTTTTATATATAATGAACTAATGAAGCCCGAGAAAGTGATCGTAAAATAGCAAGTTCTGAAGAAAATGTGCATTTTGATAAGCTTCGACATAAATGAGTCCGAAATACTTTGTAAGACACACAAATTGCTTCCTCCTGAATCTCTCATGAACACTTGATGTGGAGCAGATCATCGGCCTGGAACGAAATGCTACACAAGATAAGATGGCACGAACATGCGAAATATGCAGATAACACAGATAGACTCGTGTAAAAGAAGAGAAACACGGAAAGTTTTCCAGTCACATTAAAATGTTGCTCGCGTTGTGAAAATAGAAGGGATTTTAGTCGGAGTTGATTTCAATTGTTGAACATGAGACTGTTGTGCTTATTTTGTTTCGCATTTTCACTTAATTTAGGTAGTGTGCGACACTTCTCGATGAGGTTAGGTTACAGGAAAGCAACAAGTGCACATGCCTTCTACGTATAGGGAACGCGAATCACTTTTATAAAAATTATTATGAAAAAATATATCGTACTTAAATGCACTATTAAAATAATTTTATTTGTAATATCAAATATTTATTAACATAAAATAATAATTATTCAAATTCTTCCTCTACTTTCCTATCTTTCCCAACTACTCCATGTCAATGATGTCGAACACATCAACAACAATAAATAATACAAATAATAATAATAATAATAATAATAATACAAATAATAATAATATTTTTTATAAACTCGCAGGTCATTCTAAATTTCTAGGTTTAACTCCCGGGTCACACTCTTAAGATGTTGGTTGCAACCCGGAGTAGACTTTATAATCAACTGACGTGAATTACGGAATAATAACAATAATAATACAAT